CAGTTCAGAGAGTCCAGGTGGTTGAGTATCAGATTGTTCCATCTCGTTTTCCTTTGGGGTTGCTGTAGGTGATCTGGAAGTGTGTTTTTGAGGCTTGTTTAAGTGTCTTCTCATTTCCACTGGGGGGGTGGGCTTCTGGCACCCAGGCAGCTCACCTTCTCTGCCCTAGGAGCTTGGGATGGTGGCGGGGGAGCTTCCTTCCGGGTGCTGGGACCAGCTGAGCTTCTCTGCCCTAGGAGCTTGGGATGGCGGCGGGAGAGCTTCCTTCCGGGTTCTGGGACCAGCTCAGCTTCTCTGCCCTAGGAGCTCTCATCTTATTTCCTTTTACACTATGCAAGTATTCTTCAATGTATTTTAACATCTTTCCTCCTAAGTATGTCAGTGACCATATCTGTTGACCATAGCAGCCTTGTATAGTGGAGAGTTTAGGTAGTTAATAAGGCTGGTGAATCAGAGACTAAAAGAATGTCTACTAAACAAGACCTCTATTTTCTTTTTCACTATTACTATTTTAACAATTGAAATACTAGTGAAATATAAACACTTACATGGCCATCATCTCAACTGAGGTAAATTAATTAAGATACACAGTCAAGAGGCAAGGCTCATCTTGTATTTGTTATAGTATGTATCGAGGAATGTCTTACATTTGTTTTCATAGCAATAAATCACAGGAATTATACTAAATACCTCTCAATGTATTAAAATATTTTATAGTCTATTCAGAATGTTTTATTATTAAACTGTGCATATTTAATATTGCTTTTTGAGACTAAAGGCATAAGTCTTACCTATAGGCTAATGTCACATCGTCTGAATGTTTGTATGGGAATGGACTACTAAATGGATATCTGATTATCTGGAAAATTAATTCTATATCGAACTTTATTCTTTCAGAAACAGATGGGTGAGATGAAACTACAACTTGAAAATGTCATCAAAGAAAATGAAAGGTAGATAAATAGTTATTGGTTCCTGGATTTATTTTTAGATAACATTTATTTTTGTTATTTAATATATATAATATACTGGTTGAGAGTGTAGAATCTGGGGTCTGATTTTCCATTTCTTTCCTGGTTTATGACCATAGACACATACTTCTTTCCGCTTTAGTTTCTTCATCTGTAAATTAGAGATAATAACACAATCTTTTTCATAGAGCTGACTATGTAGGGTAAACTGAGGGCTTGGAATAATGAACATAATAAGCACCTTATAATCATTAGCAATCAATAGTGTATATGATACAAATGTATTAGGAAGCATACTGATAAAATGAAAATTTGTCAACCTACCATCCAGCATAAGAGATAATGTACTGATACTGACGCATGTTTCTTCTCCAGTTCCCAGTTTCATCCTTCCTTCTGCTAAAAGTAAACACTACCTTGAATTTTGTGTTTATCATTGCCTTGCTTTTAAAATTTTTATAGATATGTTTATCTTTGATCAATATATGTTTGCGTTGTAAAAAACTGTATAAAATTGTATCATCTAGTGTTCTGGGACTTAATTTTTTCACTGATGTCATGTACAAATACAAGAGTTTCAAGGGATGAAATTGCTAGATCATATATTATGTGAATGTTAAGTTTTGTAATAAATATCAACTTAATTTCCAAAGAGGCTGTACCAGTTTATATTCTGCCTGTTCCAGAGTCCCCTCTGTCTATTTATCCCTGGCTGTGGTAACTGTTGCAGCTGAGTTGTGGTCCTTGCCCTCAGCAGTAGACAGGGAAGGCAATCAGACCACAGATTTGTGCTGGATAGAGGTAGCAAGGTAAGGATTCAAGCAGCCTGCTGTACTTAATGCCAGCACTTTCAGATGTAACTGTTTCTGTGTGTACCACAAACAGGCCTGGCTGTTTATAGGCATAAAATACTCATTCAGAAATATTTAATGAGTGCCTTCTAAGTGTTAGGCATTAATTAAGAATCTAAGATATATCAGCAATTAAAACAGACAAAAAATGGCTATCCTCATTTTAAATTGGACATTTTGTTGCTTGTAGCCAAAGTGTACTGACTGATAGAGAGACTTAATGGTATCTGTCAGGGGTTCCCAGACTATTGACTGCCACATTTTTTTGTTAGTAAATTTATTGGATACAGCTAAGACCATTCATTTGTATATTGCTCATATTGTTGATGGCTGCCTTGTTCCATGATGATGCCATTGAATACTTGTAACAGAGACTGAGTAATCTATGAAGACCTGCATATTTTCTCCCTGGCTCTTCACAGAAAGATTACTAACACATTTTGCAATGAAAAAGATCACTGTATGTATGTAAAATCTGTTAAATAGCCTTTATTTTAACAGTAACCAAAGACCTTTTTTAAAATACAAAACTATCTTAAGACTTTTATTTAGGCTCATGCAGAGCTTTAAAATACAGATGTGAAAGACATCACCATGAATTTTAAAGTTAGTGCTTAGTAACTTAAGTCCAGTGGCCTTTGGTATACTATTTGTTTTACTAAGTTTCTTAGTTTTTTGTTTTCTGATATATGAAAGGTACGATTTTAAATTTTATTTCACCTTTTCTAATTATTATTAGTGTGTTCTGATATTAGTCTAGAAGTGCTCTAATGTTAATGTTATCAGATTTGTTAATATGATAGAAGAACATGATAATATTTTTTATATTCTTGAATAAGAGGCAGAAAAGAAATTGGAATTCCATAGTATAAACCCTGCTATCCTGACATTAATTGAGGTATGTATACGAGGAAGGTCATACCTCAAGGTCCACCAGTATCATATCTGTTAAGCTGTAATTATGAGTTTTAAATTTCTACTTCTAATAATCTCATATAAAACCAGAACTGAGCTAATTTTTCTATGTATTTCTATTTATAATTGAGTTTTGTATGTATAGATCTGTTATCACACTCCCCTTTCATTACTAGTTTCTAGTCGCAGTGGCCTAGATTCTTAATTTAATTTTTATCAGCATAGCAAACCAGTTACCATCTCAGGATCTTTTACTTGTTACCTGCCTCAAATTTTCTTCTCCAGACCTGCACAGCGCTGGCCACTTCTCTTCATCAAGGCTCTCATCAGAAAAGCATTCCCTGATGACATTATCTAGCACTGCTTTTTCCAACTTCTCCTCACTTTCTTTTTTGTGCTATCCAATTTTACTTTTATAGTTTAAATGAGTGAATGAAATCTTAGCTCTTTTAGAATGAGTCAGAATTCATAGATTGAAAACAAACTATATGTTTAGTAAACTATAGATCATTTAATATGGCTGAACTCAGCATATGTAGGGAAATTACATACAGTGATTATATACTCAGCTAAGTAATTTGAACTTTTTGTTCAGCTAGCATAAGGAGCTCTTCAAGGGTTTTAAACAGAGGAGAGGGTATACTTTAGAAGGATTGTTTTCAGTTGTGCTTCAGAGCTGGACAACATCAGATAGTTCTGGAAAGAATGTATATGATTCATTGGAGGAACATAAGAAAGAAAACAACAGTTCTACTCATTAAGAAATTCTGTATTAATCCTCCCCAAAATTCCACACTCTGGCAGTGGTGTGGAAATCTTTATCAGGGAGGCTTGGATTTAGAGAATGAATGAAATCTGTCCAGTGAGGGGAAGCATGTGGAAAGGTCATGCCAACAAGTGGTCCAGAGTGTTTTGTAGTTACGTGTATTTGTCTAACTCTGTCTTTGTCTTATTGATTCTAAGATTGACTGCCTATTCCCCTCACCCCAATTTTAACACCTCTAAATTGAGATGTAGCCATAGTCAGTGGCATGTCAAAGGTTAGTAAGCAGCAATTTTTTAATGGCATGTGAAAGAATGATATATCTTACTCTCAAAGACAAATTTAATTCAATGAAATAAAGGTTAGAATTGTTTTATCTTTGTCATATAAAAGATCAAAACTTTTAGGAAGATCTTTGCCAACTTTCTATTGTCGATTTGTGATAATTAGTTATAATTTCATTACTGCACTTACTGGATATTTTTCTGGTATTAGTACTCTAATCTGTCTGCAACTCAGTTTTTTAATCTATAAATTGAGAGAGTTCAGTACGGACAGTATATCTAAAAGAATACCTTGACTTAGTACAGTTGTCTTACAAGTTTTATATGTTCTTTGGCTTATTAGTCTGTCTTTCAACCTGTTTATATATGACAATTAACTTTATAAGGTCTTATAAATAAATCTGATGCTGGAAAAATAAAAGGGGCTGGAGGGCGGGGGGAAAGAGAAGGGAATATAAATGTGTATGTACATGTGCCATTCTCCTACAGTGAATGTAATCACAGTGTACTGCAAATGTGTACTAATAAAAGTCAAAAAAGAAATGAGCAATTATACACTAACATTTCAGTTTCCTTTTTCACTTTTATAATTATTATGTGTCCTTTAAATTCCTTTTTCAATGATACTGCCGGTGGAAAGATACAAAAATAATAAAATCCATAAGTAATAACTTTAAATGCATAGTTATATGTAGGAATTTATTATAAAGGTATTATATGACAATATTTACATTCTTTTAAAATACCTTTAATCAGAAGTATCTTTTCTTCAGCAAAATAATTAACACCAAGAGATCAGGAAATCTGTTTCTTTTTTATGTTATTCATGTCATACCTGGTATGAAATATAATAGAAGCCTTCTTACTTTCTGGCCAACTAGTTGGTCTGTTGTTTGAGAGTCACTAGAATAGGGCATCAGAAAAAAATATGTACTTTAAAAACATTTTTATTTTGACTTAATAAAAATGTACATGTATTTAATTTTTTATATCTTGCAAGATCATTACTTTGAGTAAGTTTATTAACTGTAGTTCTTTGTCTTTCATGCAGAAATCATATAACTTATTCTTCATATAATTTATATTCCTGTAATTTATATAATTCACAATTCCAAATTTCAGTTTCTTTTGAGATGAGAACTTAGAGAGCGTTTCTATGTCCTTTTAGTTCTGTTTTTTTAATAATTTTTCTGACTTTTTGTATTTATCTTACCTAACTCTAATTCAATAACAGTTCTAACAGCTCATCAAACCTTACATTCAGTTTAGGTTTTGTAAAAAAATCAGCTCTTCTATATTGTTATTCTATCAGTTTTGGGTCACACTTAATTCTATAATGCATAGTAATTTGTAAGTTGTAATCTCTAATATCCTTCTGCAGCAAAGGCAGGAAAATTATAAACTAGTTTAGGATATAAACTGATGCTAATGATAAGCACTTGAAGAAGCCTAAATTGAAATGTAAGTGGGAGAGAGGCAGTCCCTCTCTGAGGCATTTATTTTGTTGAAGAGCATCTCACAAGTATAATGTGACTCTAGAGCAAACACCTCTAACAGATACCTCTGTTCCAGCTATGCCAGGGTATTTCTGTAGGTTCTCCCAGTACCTTCCTGATCTCAGGATCTCAGCTAACCAGATGTGATCTTGTAATCACCAGTTAATGTTGGTGCTTTCTGATTGTCCAGCCCTTTAATAGTGGCCAATGTAGCAGTTCCCTCCACAAAACAGGTATGCATTAAACCAGTAAGACTTGACTTTTTCCTCTAAAATTTCCTCTAGAACACAAGATCAACTAACTGATTGGACAGCAGAAAAAGCAGCCATGAATGGTTTTACTTTATGTGTGCTGTTAGTGTTATGAATAATCAGTATACTGTAACAGTCTTTGTCTCCAGGAATTTGTATATGATTTCCCTTCTTACTGTCAAGGAAACCAAGTATGAAAGAGCTTCCTCTTTTGTATTTTCCTGTGGTTCCTAACATTTTGACTTGCTTAAGTAGTTGAACAAATGCAACTAGAACCAGAACTGTCTTAGTATTCTGTAGGTAATACCTTTTTGGATATTTGTTAAACTTAAATAATTGATGTCTAATATTTAAGTGTTTTCACCATCATAAACAGTAATGTCTTAAAAGTTAACTTCCCAAGTTTTTATGGTACATAAATG